CTGAGGGGCATGCGGCCGTTTCGGCACATGTTTCTGACGTGTGCATTGCTGAGATTTTGGATTCTTTTCCCTCTTCGAAGCGATGGTTGCATGGGACAGCGGCGTCATTGAAAGCTGCCTGTCAAGAGGGCAGACGCCTCACTGGCCTTCTGGTAAATCTGGCGTTGTGGGTCGGCGTGACATCATCTTTCTGGTCGTTGCGAATGATATGCCCCATACGCAAATCTGGTCCTAAGATGGTTCGGCGCTTAGGTAATTTAAGACCTGTTTCTTTTGGTTCCGACATTGCACAAGTTTTAGATGCTGTGTGGGTTCAACAGAACAAGCCTGCGATTGAATCTTTTTGCGGGCCCGGGCAACTTGGCGGTCGCAGCGACCCTGCGTCAGCTGTTTTGGCTATTGTGCTCTTGTGCCAACTCCGTCGGGCGCAGGGAGCACCGACGTACCTTGCTATTGCCGATCTCCAGGCGGCTTTTGATTTGGCCGATATTCCCACCATGTTGCAGAACATTTTTCGGGCAGGTGTTAGGGGTTGTTGGTGGCTACTGATGGACGACATTCTGGCCAGCGACGCCCAAGTAGTGTCCTTGCACGGGTTTATCTCTGCAGTTTTTTCATTGGGACAAGGAACTGCTCAAGGTCGCCGTTTTTCATCTTTTCTGTTCAATGCTTTCGCGGTTGATTTACGCGATGCCTTGGAGGGCGCAGTGCCGCAGGGTACATGTGCTATCTGGCCCCCTTTCGGACACCAAGCATTGCTTGAAGCTGATCATGCCAGTCCAGCGAGTGACTTGGATAACGTGCCTTCAGACCCACAAGTCTTGCACAATGCAATCTGCAGCATTCAGGATGCTGTGGCTGCAGACTCGTCACCTTGGTTTGAAAGTTGTAAGCTCACGGTTTCGTGGTTGTCCTTGTTGCCTAAGCTGTCAGATCGCATCTTGCTTTTGGAACGCCTTGGTCGTTTTTCAGTTGGCCCTATCCAGTATATCGACGATACGAGTATGCCTTGCCCAAGCGTAGGGTCCCTTAAAGCAGTCATTGCAACGAGTCCCCAGTCTGCGTGTGAACGTTTTGCTGCTTCGACCGGTAGTAAGATTAATCGAAAGCCTGGGAAGACGACGGTGATGGCTATGTGTGATAGCCCACCTCCGTGTCCGGGTGCAGTGGGGTGTGAAGTTGCTTCCACCCATACGTGTCTTGGATTCCTGCTGGATGACCAAGTGAGTATGGAACCTATGCTCTCTTCTGTTGTTGCCCATGCTAACAATGCTCTTTCAGGGTTTTGCAATGCTGCTATTTGTGCTGGAATTCCACTCACCGCAATCGCAGCCGAGATACCGTCTCGCATTGATGCAATTGTTAAGTATAGGGCCCCTTTTTTGGTTTTAGCCCCCGGTTTCGAGTCGGTGTTGAATAATGCTCAGTACAAGTGGGCTTTGGAGATCCTTGGTTGCAACCCTGGCATCAATGTTAAGCGCGCGTTGCCGCCATCCCAGCTGGGATGGAAAGCGCGGTTGGGTTCGGTTGTGATGGAGGCAGCCATCACAATGTTGGCAAGACTCCAGTGCCTACCAGATGATCACCCTGCCTCGGTGATGGTACAGGCTGCTACCCTCACTGGCTTGCCGACATGGATAACACATGTGTGCCAGTGCATGACGCGACTTTCTTCTCATGGCTGGATTCTGCAAATCACCGAGCATACTGCCTTTGCTCCTGGGGTGGCCATGGCGAAGAGCGACCCGGCTTACAGAAAGCTTCTCATCAAGCAGTACAGAAAGCATGTCGTCGCTCCAGTTATTCATGCATACGATGACGCGTGGAGACGCGGGCATTTGCAACAAGTCTGCGAGGGTTTTGGGCTTCGCTATGACCAGATTCCGGTTACAGGCACTGCGTTGCCCTGGTCATTGGCAAGGTTGGATCTCGGGCCAAGTACCTTATCTTCGCTAAGGACTTGGTTGTTTGTTCGTTGTTCTGGCCGATGGCCGTCAGCTGGCCAGCACTCAGAGGCTCCCACCCTTCGGGACTGTTGTCCTTGGTGTGCGGCCTGTCTGGTGACTGTCAGGCATGCTCTCTGTGAGTGCCCTGGTACCGCGCGAAGCCGTGCTTCATTGTTGGGTGACTGGTGGCAGCTTATGTCTGGCCAGGCATTTCTGGAGTATCTGTTTCGCCTTGATGAAGATGTGGAGCGAATGCAGGCTTGTATATATTTCGTCAATCGAGCTTTGGCCCCAAGTGTTCTCACATAGATCGGGAGCCGAAGGCTTGTGAAAGACCAAGTCCTTCCGGCTCGCTCCGGTCTTTGCTCCCTCAGTGGTCGTCGTTGCGGGAGCATATCAGTCCGAAATGTGAAATGTGAAATGTGTATGCTCCAATTTCCCCCAAATCCCCAAAATCCAGGCATCTATGAGGCGTGCCGGGCCATAGTTGCTCAGAGTTTGGGATTTTTGGGGAAATTGGTGCCTGTCGATGTTTTCGCACTTCCAGCTTTGCAAACTTTGGGGAAATTGGTGCCTGGCAGTGTTTTCGCATCCGGGGTTGCCAAAACACCGCCAGGCACCAATTTCCCCAGAGTTTGTGAGGCTGGAAGTGCCAAAACCTCGCTATGCTCCAATTTCCCCCAAATCCCCAAAATCCAGGCATCTATGAGGCGTGCCGGGCCATAGTTGCCCAGAGTTTGGGGATTTTGGGGAAATTGGTGTCTGTCGATGTTTTCGCACTTCCAGCTTTGCAAACTTTGGGGAAATTGGTGCCTGGCAGTGTTTTCGCATCCGAGGTTGCCCACCTCCCATGATCCACTGTTTGCAAGAAGCAGGTTCGGGTGGATCATGGGGGGGGGGGGCGTGAGCATATATATATATATATATATATACATCATGCATGCATGCATGCATGCATGCATATATACATGCATACGTGCATCCACCCATGCATCAATGCATTCATACATCCAGACATACACCCATACATCCTCTCACACAGCCTCACACACACACACACACATACATTCATGCACATGATTACATGCGAAGCTACCTCAGAATACCATAATCTTACAATATACGGAAAGCAGAAGCCTTTCCCACTCAGTTTGTTGTGCATCCGTACCCCGGCCCACGCCCTGGCCCACCGCGAGTGCTGCAATTGCTGCGAGGTTCAGCAGCATCGTCCCCGCAACCAAGTAGAGGAACTGTGCGGGAGGAGGGGGGGGGGTGGTATTTGGGGTGTTAGGATTTTAGGGCTTTGGGGCTTATGATTTCGGGTCTTGGGACGTGCGGTAACGCTTCGATGGTTTAAGTGCCGCAGATCGTTTACAGCCACGGCATGTGCTTAGGATGCCTTGCTCGAAGTTGTGTACGGCAAGGGCGGTTTGGAGTTCAGTAGGGTTTTTTGTTAAAAATGCAATAGCCTTTCGCTCGCACGACGGTCCACCCCTGTAGGGGTGTGCACTCCTGAACAACAAAAGTCTAGAATCCTCTCTCAGACGTCACCGATATCATGTCCACTCACAACTTTTCACCAGCGGTTCAGGGCTCAGGGTTTAGATCAACCCAAGATAGTGTCGCCTACTGTCGGTGCTCTACTCCTGAAGTGCTTACCGAGCCCGAAGCTATGCAGAGTAGCTGCCATTACTCAAAATCGTATGCAGCGACCTAGCAATTAGAACAGGGTGTGGGGGTATATTCTAGATTTACGGGACTATCAGGGGACTGTATTCATACTTCTTCCGAACAACGAAGAAATTTCCATGACTACATGCAGCTAGCTGCCACGGGATTCTACGTAGACAGACCTTCACCAAGGAAACAACGGCAGCTATACTTTACCCCATATTTAGATTAATAGAGTTCAGGGTTTAGTGTTATCTCAACCTTCATCCTCTAGGCGGAGTTGGGAAGCGAGTTTTGAGAAACACACAACTCTTGGCAATTAGCAAACCGCTCCACTCAGACTACCTATAGTCTCCATTGTAGTAACGCAAAAGAGGAACTACAATGGAGACCATAACTAAACCTTCAACCGTAAATCGGGGCCCTCAACCTCAAAAAGCTGGACTATGCTCGTGGGTTTGCAGGGCCAGGGCATGGGCACAAACGGGACGATATCGGCTTCTGACATATATTCTGCCATAAGTACTCATGGACTACTAGGGGATAGTACCACTAGTTATTCACACCACATATAGTCGTTACAACAGGCCTTGGCAGGCCGTCGAAGTGGCAACTGCGCTACAGCAACGATCGAACAACTCCCTGACTGGAACTACTTAAAGGCTCATGGGACTTAGTAAGTAAGGTTATAAGTAGGTTATAATTAGGATAAGCCCACTTAGGGGACTTATAACCCCAACTATAACCTACTTACTAAGTCCCATGATCCTTCAAGTAGCAAGAACCTGTAACATCCTGAGCCCACCCGAAAGGATCCTAACAATCAAAACGGTGCAATATAAGGATTTTAAGCCAGAGGTTGCCCTTATGCTGGGAACGGTCGATGAGCATTCCCTTAAACCCTGAAAAACCTTGAAGTCCCTAAAGCCCTGATCCCATATCCTCATATGGGAGTTTCCGAAAATAGAGGACCCTAATATGGTACCCTATATAGTAGGATCCTTATTATAAGGGCCCCCAAATAAGGTACCCCTAATTTATGGAAACTCCCATATAAGTGCGCAGGACATGTGCCCTAGGAGTGAGGCACCATGAAGGAGCCACCAGCCATCAGGGCCAACTTGGAGGAGGACGCCTGTCTACGTTTCGGGGTTCCTAAACGGGATCCAAAACCCTAAGGCTCAAAATGGCCCAAAAGCCTTAGAATATGGGTCCTTAGAGCCTTAGGGTTAAGGGTTTTAACAGGGGCTTCGGGTTTCAGGTTCAAGGTTTCCGTGCTCACTCTCGGACAATCCAGGCGAGGCATGTGGTTTCGGCGCTCACACTCAGGGGGCTTCCGGGTTGTAGGCTCTCGTGTCTCGGTACACGTGCGGTTTCAGGGTTTTACGTTTTATAAGGGGTTTGGAAGGGTTTGCCGTATCTTGGGTTGTAGGGGTACTCGTAGTTGCGAAGAAGCTTGGAAGCTCTGCAGCCGTAAACTTTCAAGGTATGGTCTAGCATGTGCAAATCGTCTCCTTGAAGTATACAACTAATCGCAAGCACTCTATAGAGGACTACGGATGCTTCGGGATGCTTTGGGGCACTGAAAATTCTGCCTATAAACCCTGCTTCCAAAGCCAAAACCCTACACCCAGCCTCTGCGCTGTAGCGCTGAGAGAAGAACCAGGCCCCCGCCACCAGCAATGTGGCGATCGCGGCCACCCTGACTCCGGTTGGCTTTTGAGGGTATAGGCGTAGGGTCTAGGTTTTTGGAGCTAACATGTGGGACGTTCCAAGGTCACCCCAAATTTAGGTCCATCTGAGGTTCCTCCGTAGAAGTATACGACTATTCAGGCAGAGTCTGTCTTACGTCCCTTAGTATATGATGCTCCTATGTGGATTTAGAGTTTGCAGGCCGGGAATTACCAGACGAGTTCGACTCGTTCGAGCTTGCCCGCGCGATCTCCAGCTAACCCATGAACAAGGATAAGATGGGAGCCTTAATGACTAGAGTAGGCTTTTGGGGCCCATGATACTATAGTTGTAACAAGAAACCCCCCGAAATAGTATAGGTAACTATTATGATGAACTCCAGACTCAGATCGGGGTGGCAGAAAGCAGGTCTAAGTTCCTTGAAACAACACATTCAAAAACCCAAACACCCTAATCTAGGGGCCTTAATAATTAGAACAGGGTTTGGGGGGCCATTATTCTCTACTTCTATATGACAAGGAACCCTCAAAATAGTATCGTTAATTATTTAGGCCCCTATATTGAGCAGTTCACCTCCAACCCCAAGGCCCTCAGCTGCAAAACCTTCTGCACCTCAAAAACCTCTAGCCTAAAAACTGCATCCAAAATCCCTAAACACGAACACCCCAAACCCGTATTGCCCAAAACCGCCAGAAAAGACCTGAAACTCCAAACTCTTTGTAACACATCCGCCTACAAACTACAAAAGAACTGCGACAATGCCCTCGCACAGCCTGAACATCCCTTCACCCATAAGAAGCACTCACAAATCCCTGCAACCCATCCAAAACCCTGGGAAAACAGCCCAACACCCTCAACTATAACAAACCTGCAACATGCTCTCAAGCCCCTTGTTAAAGCCCCTAAACCGTAAACCCTAAACCCTTAACCACTTGTACAACTCACCGTCGGCGCTGCTACCGAGGATCCAGTCACTGAGCAACAGCAAACCCAAAAAGGTCGCGACAAGGACCAAATAGTTAGCCTCCCACAGGATTTTGAGTTTAGAGTTGACCGCTGCGCTGGCCGTGTGGTTTTGTAGAGAGCTTGTGGAGCTTCAGGTCTTTTCGGATAGTTCACCACTAGGATCCACCTGTCGAGTCTTAGGAGTCGTTCGAAAACCGCTTCGGTGCGCCTGGGTTCTAGGATGGTCGGGGTCTACATTTTTAGAGTCCAGAAGGTCTACTTAAAGGATCATAGGACGTGGCAAGTAGGTTGTAATTGGGCTTCCCCTAAGTGGGGTTATCCCATAATTATAACCTACGTATCACCTTACTTACTACGTCCCATGAGCCTTTAAGTAGGGTTTCGGGTTAAGGGTCGGGCAGCTAAGATCCAAGTCTCTTCACGGCAGTCTCTGCACTTCAAGGCTCGAGCAGATTGGTGCGTTTACGGCTTCTGCTGCAGAGAACCAGCCTCCAGGCTTTCGGGTTCCAGGTGTAGGGTTTTTGTGCTTCAGGGTTCACGGTTTAAGGTTTTCGGGTCAGGGAAACTAGCTACTTTAGGCCTTGGGGCTTAAGGGTCCCATCAAAAAGAAACTTGTCATCATCATCATCATCCTTATCATAACGTGTGCCGTCATCAGCGAGCTATGAGAGATGCCATGCTTGCAACCAACATAATCAACATCTGCAGGTCATTTGCAGTCGTGGGCATAGTAGCTGTGGCATGAGAAACAGCACCAGTCGTTGGAGGAGGGGCAGCTGCATCAGTAACACAGGCGGCCGCCGTTGCATACTGCTTGTGATGAGTTTGCCTGCCTGCCTGTGCCTTGGACCTTGCTAATGGTCAGCATCTCGGCGTATCAGGGCGCAATTAAAAGCAGCAAGAATACCACGTAAATAAGCCCAACGTCCACCGGCCTGCGCCAAGAAGCGTATTAGAAGATTGCTGCCTAGTCGTTCGTTAGTTTAATGAAGAAGGCTTTGCGAAGCATCCTCAAAACCTCTAGCAGATATTTTCGGACTCTAGCTGACCGAGCCATACTGGTTCCAGCACAGACGGAGTCGGCTAGAATCCCGAAATCAGCACATCGCAAAAGACCTCATACCCACAACCACACCCCGCAGTTGGTCCTGAAAGTGCAGGATGTTTTTCTTGAGTCTGCTGCGCGCTTCCTCCGAGTTCTCCGGCGCCCGAACTACGAAGAAAGACTTCCTGGGCAAAGCAACGAAGCGAAATCCTTCCAACTGTTGTGCTTGGTCTGATGTGGTCTACGTAGGTAGTTCCACAAGTACTGGCCCAAAACGCTTTCCAACAAGTACTGTGGGGATTCAGGAGGAAGGATAACATGCTTTCCCCGAAGTAATGGCGCGATTCGAGCCCCCATCAGCCTTTAAAACTAGGCCTTGCGAGCGCAACTATGAAAGCCTGTGAAAAGCTGTTGAAACCCTACATACATGTGTAAAGCCCTCGAAAGCCCTGATAGAATTCAGCAGGTTATACCCCTTCAGCCCTGACCCTCCCAAAATGAAGTTTCTGCCATGGCGCCAAGGCTGCAGTGCAGCGGGGCGACCTGCGGCTACACGCAGGGCGCCAGCGGCAGACTCGACATCCTGGGCAGAAGCGTATCCACCTTTTGGGTTGACTGGATTTTGGGGGCGTAGGGCTGACAGTATTGAGGACGCTCGGGATTTCGACTCGCTCATGTGGCACAGCTAGGTTCGGAGTGGGGGTTGACAATCATGCATTTCCACGTAACTGGCGCGACCACCTGTAGCGAAGTCACGAAGAATATCCAACGTGAGACAAGCGACGAGGTATCCAGCCGTTTTGGAACCGAACACTTCCGGTGAAGAGCCGGTGCTTGATGGTGGCAGCATGCCTCCGGCAGCTAAACCACAGTTATTGCTTGGGGCTTTGTTTGACAACAACACTTGCTGCTTAGATCTAGCCCATGAAAGCCAATCAAGCAATAATGTCCTGCTACTGCTAAGATGCATGCAGTACTCATACGGCAGCAGCAGTAGTAGTAGTGGTGGTGGTAGTAGTGGAAGTAACAATACCATCGGCAGCGATCTGCTGTCCGAACAGTCCAGCAACGCTGCACAAATGCAAGTTGATGAGGGGTGCACTTATATTTCTGGCTGTCGCTGGCAGCAATATTGAAGTATGCATGTGTGTCTCTGCTCCGAATTTCGAATGCAGGGGATAACTTCAACATGTGAGGTTATATTAAGGGTGTGAAATAACACGAACATGCTTGCTGTGAGTACACTGATGCCTTCCCGGGACAGGCACCAGTTTGACCAGGAAAAGAGCGACCACTGTAATGTAGGGGCCTTACTAGTTACAATAGGGGTGTTTTGGGTGATGTTATATTGTTATGATAACAAGGAGCCCCCAAAAATAGTATAGGTAATTACTGAGGCCCCTATATTAGCCCTCAACTCAAAACCTTACACCACCGAACGCCGTCAGCAGCTTCAGATCCTGTACTCAAACAACCAGACCGCTGTAAATCCTGAAACCTCAACACTCAACACTATACAGCATCCCACAGGGGTGCAATCACAGCAGCAGCAACAGCAGACGCCGAAAAGACCCTCCCCATCGACGACGACAGCAACCCTGACTTCACAATCTTACCCCCGGTATAAGCTACGGCTACAACCTCATCTACCTCTGCACACCCGGCTCTGCCCGAAGACCCCAAGGCCTTCCTAAAGCCCTATCGGTCTGAAAGCTCCTTGGCCCCCGGGGTGGCCAAGACATGGCACTCTGAAAAACACTTCAGCTCAGCCCGCCCGGCTCGGGACCTGCTGTCCAGGAAGGGAGACGCTGCAACGTATGGCTTCAGGCAGGCCGAAACCAGAAACCTACAGATTTCCTCGATTCCTGAAACCCGTCTCAACGCCTAGTGGGCACGGAGGCACACTCCTGACACGTCCGTATCCTAGGTCCTACGATTTAGGAAAACATCGGATCCTGACTATTGGCAGCGCCCTGAGAGGCGCAAGTGCGACTGCAGACTGGCAAGGATATATGCATGTCAATCATCCTTTCGCACGCCGCGCGAAAATAATGCTACATTATGTTTTGCGTGACGTGGCTCTTATCGTGTGTGTGTGTGTATTTATATGTACACCTTTCTACTCATAATGTACTTGACGGCGGAACAGCAGTTGAAGATTCCACGTGCCGCAACGTTCGACCTTTTTCTGCAGGACCCCCAAACTGCGAGCCGAGAGCGGCCAGGAAGCAGAGGGTGTGTCGCTTTAGGGTTTAGGGCTTAGGGGTTTAGGGTTTAGGCCAGGAAGCAGCTGGTGTCTCGCTTGTGCACGGGCTTTAAGGCTTATAGTGCAGGGGCCTTAAAAATTAGAATAGGGTTTTGGGGGGATGTTATACTCTAATCATAATAATAAGGAACCCCCAAAATATTATAGAAAATTATCTAGGCCCCAATAGCCAGGGTTTAGCTTTCTTTTTTGCGGGGATTCGGACACTTTAAGGTCTAAGGTTTAGGGACTGCAGGTCCCACAGCAAAACTGGGTTAAGAGTTGTGTAGGGTAAGGGTAAGGTTGACCTACCATAACCTACTTGTTTGTAGATTCTTATTATAAATCCTAATATGGGTTTTAAAGGGACCCTGCAAAAAAAACAGATTTGGTAGATTAAGGTAAGGCTTGCTATCATGTTCGGTGCAACTGCTTCTGTCTCAAAGCAGGCCCCCCTCCAGGAGCAACCACCGATGCCACGGTCTCACAAGAACATCCGGTCGTTTCAATACAGACAGTTATGAGTTATGACTTGCATTTAGAGAGGCCGAAGCTCGACGATAAGAAGAACTGCGTACTTCGGCAACGTGCAGCTTATCTCTGTATGTCCGAAAGCAACCTGGCAGGACTTCTTGTGGTTGTCAAACTCCCACTTCAGTCCGTCAGTTCTCGGGATGTGTTCGCATCGCTCCATATGATTTGTAGCTCAAGCTTATTGCAAGGCACAGCGCCACCGCTCTGGCGGTGCGTCCGGGGCAAGTATGCGGTCTCTGCGAAAAGGCGTCAGATTTAGCTCCAGCTTGTCCATCACGGAAAGCCTCTGATCGGAAGGAATGGCAGGGGAAATAAGAAGCCGAACTTCCTACACATGCCTTGGAACATCACTTTCTGCAGCTTCAGCTGTTGCTGCCACTGCCGCTGCTGTTGCTGCGACTGCTGCTGCTGCGGCTGCTGCTAATGCTGCGACTATACTCATAGGACCACTACCATTACGACTACCACTACCACTATCACCACCACCACCACCACCACCACCACTACTATCACTGTCACTTTCACTATCACCACCACCACCATCATCACCAGTACCACTAGCACTACCACTACCAACACTCCACGACTACCACGACGGCGACTACTACTACTGCAGCCGTGGCTCCTGCTGCTGCTACTACTACAACTACTACTGCTACCACCACCACTACCGTACCGCTACCACGACGGCGAGACCACGACGTCGACGCGACGAGGACTGCTAGCAGCAGTCGTAGTATTGTAGCAGAAATAGGTGTCATCGGAGTCGTCAGAGCAGAAATTGTGCAAGCTCTGGCTGCCAGAGCTGCAAGCACCGAAGAAGAAGTAGCACTCACTGGTAGTTACGAGTTACTAGCTCTCGTACAAGTACCGGTCCAAGTGTCGCGCTGTCAGATAATAACTTTTCGCGCACCAGAATACAATACGACAGGCATGACACATTTTTTAACATACGAACAGCTACTAATACGAACACTGCTACTACGATAACTACTAATTCGGACACTACCGCAGAGTTCTACAGATACCCCACCGACCTCACCGCGACGACGACTAATGCTAATGCCACGAACACACTGTTCTGGCCTGCTTCCGGAAACGTGCTCTGACAACAGCAGCAAAAAAAAGACCTGAACAAGACCTACCACCTACCACTGCTCCGTCCAACAGTACAACACCAAAGATTGATACCACTATTATTATGTATATAGTGGCCCACTTCCTAAAGTGTTCAAACTTCAAACAACAGCCCAAATCCGACTTCGGTTAGACGTCAACATTAAGACCACAGCATCAAAGGCCCGAACAAGACCAAGGTACAGGGTGTGCCGAAGAACCGCTTCTACGCTCTCGTGATTTTTGGCAGAGGCCTCGAAGTATGTCAAACCATTGGCCGTGGCGAAAGCCTCGGCCTCTTCAGTGTTCCCAGGAGCAGCAACATCCACCTCCAGACTTGGAGTATCGCGTACGAGAATCGTACTTGGGCAACATGTCCAGCGAGTAGTGACGCATGAAACCCGAAAACCCTGCAACCTCCTCCTGAGTTATCGTAGTACATCAAATGCCGTTATTGCTGCAGCTATCTGCAGCTACAAGAATCAACCCATCTCTGACCAAATCCACACGGGCCCTGCAATCTGACCTTGTTGCCGACCAGCACTCTCTCCGCGACTGGTTCAGATGCGGACAAGTCGACCATTTGCTGAATCTCGTGCAAACGCAGTCTCTCCTGCACTGTGCAAGAAGGGGCAGCCCCTTGCCTTTATCTCAGGGCCGAAGATCCCCCTTCCCTCACACGATATGCAATGAACGTTTCTGAAGAAGGAGCACCGAGATCTAGAGTCCTTAATAATTACCAACGCCTACTGCATATAAACCTAGCACAAAGTTGTTGAGTCTCCAGGTCCGCCACGAAGATTATGGCGGCCTTGCGCCGGAACATCATAGGATGCAGCACAGGGTTCGAAGCGTGATGAGTTCCATGTAGGTCCCAGAGGAGTAGCTTCACGGGAACCATGTTCTCCTCCTCTCAGCAACGCGATGCAGACCGCGAGGTAAAGGCGAGGGACATGATGACTCTGCCTTCGGTGCCCAAGATATAACGACGCACGAATTCAATCACCACAGCGACAGCGACAATCGCAACAACAGCAACAACAGCAGCAGCAGCAACACCAGCACCAACAACAACACCAACAGCAACAACAGCCACAGCAACAGCAACAGCAAGAGTAACAGCAACCAAATCTAGTACTAGTACTTAAGTAGGAATAATAACAAACAATAATGTTTCATCAGTAGTAGACTAGTACTCGTACTAGTACTAGTAGCCACCCACCCCCCGACCAACCACCTGGCGCCTTATAATCGCTTCCCCTGAACATTCAACCCCCCTAATATAAAAACTGCCGGCCCCCGGAATTTTGCGGTTTCGGGCCCCGCATTCAATTTAAAAGGGACAACATTAGGGGGGTGGCAGATCTGTATGTGTTTTAATTGAAGGAAAACTACCGTAGTACTAAAGACAGCAGAGCTTTAGGGTTTAAGGGTTTAGGGCTCAAGGCTTTATAGAGCCAAAGATTACAGCAGTACTAAAGAGACACGAGAGCTTTAGGGTTTACGGGTTTAGGGCTCAGGGCTAAAGCTTGAGGGCTCAGGGCATTAGGGCTTAAAGTTTAGGGCTCAGCCTCAGGGCTTTAGGGTCTAGGGCTGGAGGCTTAGGGCTTAGGGCTTTAGTAGGGCTCCAGGCTTAGGATAGCTGGCAGCTGGGAGTCCGGGTACGTGGATGCACCGAACCGAAACCCCCCCTAGTATAAAAACTAAACCTCCGAAATCCAGTTTTCATATTACGGGGGGGGGGGGGGGAGGGGCGTTTAATATTAGGGGGAAGGGATTACTATTATACCATCATCATCATCATCATCATCATCAACGAACATGACAGTTGCAGAAGATGCAGGGGCTCAGGTTCTCTTTCTGTGACAGCTGCAGAAGTTGCCGAGGCTCACTTGCGCTTTAACTGTCGCAGATGCAGGGCTCAGGCTCCCTATCTGTGACATTTGCAGAAGTTGCCGAGGCTCACTTGCCCTTACTGTCACAGCCGGCGAAGTTGCAGACGCTCAAGCCCCAAAACTGAAACAGCAACTGGAGTTGCAAACTCGAGGGGCAAGAAACTGCCAAACGACAGGTGGTCGGATAGTACGAAAACGATGTAAATACCGTGCAAAACGCAGGTGCTGCAAAGAAGGTTTAAACACTCCTTTTTGCTAAACCTGGGGCTCGCCAACACCCTTAGAACCCAGACCTCGGCGCAGGAGGCTTTGCTTTTGAAGTGGTGCGTGGTGTTCGAGAGGCTGCCGGTAAGTCATCATGCCCATTCCCCACCCCATCCCGGAAGCAACAACGCTGCTAAAGAACGGTGGTTAGCAGTAGACTACGACATGACCAAAGTACTTTAAATACCGAATAAAAACCAGCTCCCCCAACCAATTTTGAATTTTCGCCGAAATCCCTCGCAAAGCCCAATGTCGAGTTTGCAAAGTCCGAGGTACGTTTGGTGACTATATAAGATGGTCAGACATCACGAAAGTACTGTAAATACCAAGCAGAACGGCTCTTCTGGAGAGGTTGCGTAACACTGTCGTCATCATCCCCCCCCACCCCCCCACCCCCCCACCCCCCCAAGAGCAAGTCCAGAATCGGAAGCTGGAGTTTGCAAAGCCGCAGCTTAATTTTGAAGCTTCGCAAGATATTCCTACATGACGAAAGTGCTTTAAATACCGAGTAAAACGGATGTGTGTTACAAGAGTATGGTAAGAGGGGTGGTTGGTAGGGGGGGGCACCTACTAGTACTTGTAGAAATAGTAGTAATAGTAGTAGTAGTAGTAGTAGTAGTAGTAGTAGTAGTAGCAGTAGTCGCAGTAGCGGTAGTAGCAGTAGTAGCAGTAGTAGCAGTAGTAGCAGTAGAAGTACTACTACTACTACTACTACTACTACTACTACTACTACTACTACTACTACTACTACTACTACTACTACTACTACTACTACTACTACTACTACTACTACTACTACTACTACTAGTATTAGTATTAGTACTAGTACTAATACTAGTACTAGTACTAGTACTAGTACTAGTACTACTACTACTACTACTACTACTACTACGACCACTACGACCACTACTACTACTACTACTAGTACTAGTACTACTACTACTACTACTACTACTACTACTACTACTACTACTACTACTACTACTGCTACTACTACTACTACTGCTACTACTACTTACTATTACTATTACTATTACTATTACTATTACTATTACTATTACTATTACTATTACTATATTACTATTACTATTATTATTACTACTACTACTACTACTACTACTACTACTACTACTACTACTACTACTACTACTACTACTACTACTGAGTGGTAATCGTCGTAGTCGTAGCCATAGTCGTAGTGGTAGTCGTAGTTGTCGTAGTAGTAGTTGTGGTAGGAGTAGTAGTTGTAATAGTGGCAGCAGCAGCAGCAGGAGGAGGAGGAGGAGTAGCAGTAGTAGGAATAGCAGCAGCAGCACAAGCAGTAGTAGCAAGCAGCAGCAGCAGCAGCAGCAGCAGCAGCAGCAGCAGCAACAGTAGGAGTAGCAGCAGGAGTAGCAGTCGGAGTAGCGGTAGAAGTAGGTATTAATGAGGGGTACAGCTTGCACGACAGCAGTAAGTGTTTTAGACCGTTTGTGTGTTGCTCCTTCTCGACCCGGAGGTTCGCAACCCTGAAGTCCACGGCAATGACGTTTGCAAATTGCTCGGCATGGAAACGGCGATCCACATATTGGTTCAAGAAGCTTGTTTTGCCAGCCCTCCGCTGCCCGCAGATGCCGATATCAACGTGCTGGAAGTCAGAGGTTTGCTTGTCAATGCGCTCCACAAGCCTGGGCTGTTGCAGGTGAAGGAGCTGCAGATCCACCTGAACGGGAGGGTCCGGTAGGCCCAGGGTGGCCAAGGTCTCCTGCATTTGTAGTGGCCGATCTTCGAAAAGCAGCTGCAGCCGAATCTTTGGGTCGCAGCCGAGGGAGGCACGAGCTCTTTGCAGCACCTCACCTTACTTGCTGGGAGACTTAAAGCAGAACCTTGAGGACAACAGACGGGCTATAGTACCCCGACAGGCTCAAAGTGCCTTACTCCACAAAGTCACTGATGGAGGCAGTACGTGGAAGCTCTAATTCTGTGACGGACGATCCAGAGAGTTGTAACACGCGGATGGTGTACATTGCGACAGCGCACTCTAAAGCCCGGGAGCAAATCTTTTGACTTCTCTCTCTGTCTCTCTCTCTCTCTCTCTCTCTCTCTCCCTCTGCCGTGCCACGAAGCAAAGCCCTCAAGCAAACCCTCAACTCTTAACCTCTTTGTCTGCTAAAGGTGCTCGGCGGGAGTGCCGCACAAGAAGTCACAATAGTGGCTATGCACTACGGTCTTGTCTAGCTTCCAAACTCGTAATGACAGCCCTGAGTTGCTCAACATCTGCTTGAAGTCTAAACGGGCCGATGTTGAACCAAAGCTGCAAACGGCACCTTCGTGTAAGAGCACGTGGCTTTGCTTTCAAGGTATCCCTTCTACAGAGCAGTTTATGCACGAAGTTCTACAAAGGAGCGTAACTTAGAACAACCCCCAGCTTCGGCACGCGGGAGTTCATTCGATTCTTTCCACCGCCAGACTGTCTGAACGGTACTGGGCCCTCAAACAAAGCCTCCACACTGAATCTATCGACGGGATTTGCTAACCGCAACCATTAGCAGTGCTCGCTTTGCATCGTTTGTTGCTATGACCGCTACTTTCCCATCTAGATGGTCCTTCTTCGTAGCAGCGAGTGGGGCTGATCCTTAGGACATCTCCAAGGGTAAAAGGAGGGACCCTTATGAAGGACCCCTAGGTATATACCCTTAATATAGCTATTATATACCCATTCTATAGATAGCCCATTATAAGGTAGGGGTCCCATTAAGGGTCCCTCCTTTTCCCTTTGGACATCAGAGCTCCCGGAGCTCACGGCATTTCCAGGAAACAGTTGGCTTATGACACCCCTTGCCATGGTTTAGAGGATGTCTTGGGGCTCAAAAAAATTTAGGGTTCGCGGTTTAGGGTTTAGTTTTTCGAGTTTAGGGTTTAGTGTTGATGTACTACGGCTGGGGGTTTATGTTCGGCTATGCCTACAATTGGGAACCCCGATTCCAAAAAACGGCGGTTACTAACCATTCCGGCAACGATATACCGCTGTGTTGCGAGCTTTTTGCCGAGTCTTGGAGAGAATAGGTTCAGGGTTTGGGGTCTAGGGGCCTTAGTAATTAGAACCGGGTTTTGGGTAAATACTGCATTTTTCCAACTTGAATTGTACTTCTGGAGAACTTCATGAAAGCCATATCAGATGGAAGTCTCAATGCACACGCTCCCGGGCAACCCACCTTCTTGAGGGGATAGGGGATTCAATGGTTTCTGTGTCACTGTGTATCCTTCAAAAAGCTTTTGATTCAGGAAGGACTCCCTCTCACGGAAGAGCGTGGAGGTTAACTGTTAATCCCATGCAAAGCACCGGCACCGTCGAGGCAAATTTCAATACGAAGCAGAGACAGACACCTGTGCATACTTTGAGAGATCCCGAGGTTTCGAAAGGCTCACAGTGCACTAGTGGGACTGCTTGGCATTGCAAGAATCCCACTCAATGCCGCGGCCCTCAATAATCCTTTGCGATAAACCCTTGTGACGGCTACATCTTCAGCACAATTTGCCCCTCGCAGCTATTGCAAGGCGCAGCGCGACCGCTGAAACGGTGGGTCTGGGGCCAATGCTCGGTCCGAGCGAAAAACCGTCAGATCTAGTTCCAGCTTGTCCATCACGGAAAGCCTCTGATCGCAAAGATTGGCAACCGCAAGAATAAAACGACTTTCCAAACAGAACGTGCAGCAGTGGTGCACAAATGGAGACGGTAGTGGTGGAAGTGCAAGTGGAAGTGGAAGTAGCAGTAGTAGTATTAGTAGTAGTAGTCGTGGTAGTAAAAGTTGTACTAGTGCTAGTACTCGTACTAGTACTAGTACTAGCAGCAGCAGCAGCAGCAGCAGAGGAGGAGGAGGAGGAGGAGGAGGAGTAGTAGGTAGTAGTAGTAGTAGTAGTAGTAGTAGTAGTAGTAGTAGTAGTAGTAGTAGTAGTAGTAGTAGTAGTAGTAGTAGTAGTAGTAGTAGTAGTAGTAGTAGTAGTGGTAGTGGTAGTAGTGGTAGTGGTAGTGGTAGTAGTAGTAGTAGTAGTAGTAGTAGTAGTAGTAGTAGTAGTAGTAGTAGTAGTAGTAGTAGTAGTAGTAGTAGTAGTAGTAGTAGTAGTAGTAGTAGTAGTAGTAGTAGTAGTAGTAGTAGTAGTAGTAGTAGCAGTAGAGGCAATAGTATTAGTAGTGGTGGTAGTAGTAGTAGTAGCACGAGCAGTGGCAGTGGCAGTGCAGCAGCAGCAGCAGCAGTAGTAGTAGTAGTAGTACTACTACTACTACTACTACTACTACTACTCCTACTACTGCTACTACTACTACTGCTGCACTGCCGCTGCCACTGCTCGTGCTACTACTACTTCTACCACCACTACTGCTACTATTGCTTCTACTGCTACTACTACTACTACTACTCCTACTACTGCTACTACTACTGCTAGAAAGGCCCGAACAAGGCCAAGGTGCAGGGTGTGCCGAAGAACCACTTCTACACTCTCGTGATCTTTGGCAGAGGCCTCGAAGTACGTCAAACCCTTGCCCGTGGCGAAAGCCTCGGCCTCTTCAGTGTTCCCTGGAGCAGCAACATCCGCCTCCAGCGCTGTTGGGAAGTGGGCTTGGGCAGCATGTCCAATGTGTGCAGCTTGTAGGCTTGCGGGAATTATCTTTGCCTCCTGCTCCTCCTCCTCCTCCTCCTCCTCCTCCTTCGCCTACTACTTACTCCTACTGCTGCTCCGCTCCTACCTTCTCTTCCTAGCCCCCCACTACTCCCTTAAGCTCCTTCAACTCCTCCTACTCCGCCTCCTGCGCCTTGTCCTCCGACTCCTCCTAATCCTACTTCTCCCAGCAAGAAAACAGTGTCGCAGTGACCCTCGGTCCCGACCTTGTTGCCCACCAGGACTCTCTTTGAGACAGTCTCCGACGCAGATATGTCCAGCAAGTGCTGAATCTCATCGAGCTGCATTGTCTCCTGCGCGGCAGATAAAGGGTATGCCACGTGCACAATTATTACGGGCCTGGCTACGACATGCACAATACTTCTCAGGAGACCAAAATACACAAACTTTCTCATCAAACACCGAGTCTCCAGATCCAGCACGAAGATTATGGCGGACTTCCGCCGGAACATTGTAGCACGTACTCCATTCCAAGTGTCGTGAAACCCATGCAGGTCCCAGAGGACAAGCTTCACAGGAACCATGCAGTCCTCCTGAGTGCAAATTGATGTGGGTGGTGAGAGCATGCACCGAAGATGGTGACACTCCGGCAAAATCTCATGACACATCGGCACAAAAACTTAACCGCCACTACAACTACCGCTTTGTTGCTCTTTACACTTTCTCCGAGAGTTACCACTAGCTGCGTCGCAGTCGTTGATTTCGTCGTCCTCGCTGTGCAGTGGTCTTTCGTCGCAATCGGTATGGTCTAAAAGACGTCATCATAGTAGTACTAGTAGTAGTAGTAGTAGTAGTAGTAGTAGTAGTGGTAGTAGTAGTTGTAGTAGTAGTAGTAGTAGTAGTAGTAGTAGCAGTAGCAGTAGCAGTAGCAGTAGCAGTAGCAGTAGCGATAGCAGTAGCAGTAGTAGTAGTAGTAGTAGTAGTAGTAGTAGTAGTAGTAGTAGTAGTAGTAGTAGTAGTAGTAGTACGCTACTACAACTACTACTACTACTACTACTACTACTACTACTACTGCTACTACGACCACTACTACTAAGACTGCTACTACTACTACTACTACTACTACTACTACTACTACTACTACTACTACTACTACTACTACTACTACTACTACTACTACTACTACTACTACTACTACTACTACTACTACTACTACTACTACTACTACTACTACTACTACTACTACTACTACTACTACTACTACTACTACTACTACTACTACTACTACTACTACTACTACTACTACTACTACTACTACTACTACTACTACTACTACTACTACTACTACTACTACTACTACTACTACTACTACTACTACTACTACTACTACTACTACTACTACTACTACTACTACTACTACTACTACTACTACTACTACTACTACTACTACTACTACTACTACTACTACTACTACTACTACTACGACTACCACTACCACTACCACTACCACTACCACTAGCACTACCACTACCACTACTAGTTGCAGTGGCAGTGGCAGCAGTGGTGGTGGTGGTGCTGGTGGTGGTAGCAGGTGTAGTTGTTGATGTAGCAGACGTAGCAATAATTTCTGTAGAGAGTTTGTGCTCTGCTCCTTCTCGACCCGGAGATTCGTAATCTTGAAGTCCACGGGAATGACGCTCAGAACGCGCTCGGCATGGAAACGATTATCCACATATTGGTTCAAGAAGCTTGTTTTGCCAGACCCCCGCTGCCCACAGATGCCGATATCAACTCGCTGGAAGTCAGAGGTTTGCTTGTCAATGCGCTCCACAAGCCCGGGTTGTTGCAGGTGAAGGAGCTGCAGGTCCACCTGAACGGGAGGGTCCGGTAGGCCCAGGGTGGCCAAGGTCTCCTGCATTTGTAGCGGCCGATCTTCGAAAAGCAGCTGCAGCCGAGTCTTTGGGTCGCAGCCGAGGGAGGCACGAGCTCTTTGCAGCACCTCACCTTACTTGCTGGGAGAACTAAAGCAGAACCTTGAGGACAACAGACGGGAGCTGTAGTACCCCGACAGGCTCAAAGTTCCTTATTCTACTAAGTCACTGATGGAGGCAGCACGTGGAAGCTCCAATTCTGTGACGGACGATCCAGAGAGTTGCAACAAGCGGATGGTGTACATTGCGGGACAGTGCCCTAAAGCCTTGAAGGAAAAACCTTGAATTAAATCCCAGAGATAAAGCCCTCAAGCAAACCTTGAGCTCTTAACTGCAATGTCTGCTGGATAGATTGCCACCAAAAGTGCTTCTACACGACAGCCCCTGACTTCAAACATACTTGACTAGCGGTACACGATGTGCTATTGTGTTTGTTGTTTTGCATTCTGAGGGTTTGAGCCATCGGAGCACGACATGAGAGCTGCAGGAGTTCACGGCAGAGTTGGCGACCCACATCCTGTAAGGTCCTGCTATGGCTTAGAGGTCAAATTGGGCTTTTGATATCTATTCGCCTCGGCCCCGGCCGAAGCGGTCAGGGTTGCCCCCTCCCCAAAGACGCAGCCTGCGTTAAAGGCGCCCGCGACCCTGCTTCCCTTGTTTCCCTTGCGGCGCGGCAAGACGGACACCACACAATCTTGTCCACGGTTGCATGACAGTTGGGCGATATTGCTTTGCCCGGGCTCGCATAATCATTCGTGAATTTGATGCCAAGGCATGGCACATTGGGTGCCGTGTTCCTGTACTTTGATTCCCCGGTTCTATTCGCTATACTCTAGCCTCGGCTTTGGAGCTTTCGTGAAAAGGTTCTAAGGCAAATGCTTCGCTCAAGACCTCAGCTGCATGACCCGACCTGTTGCTTTCCGAAGACAATGCACCTGCTTCAAATACAGCCGGGCCGAGGCGCACGACGCGAAGCGTTTAAAATCATGCTGTACTTGCAACATAAGGTATATAACCCTAAACCCTAAGCCCTAAATATATGGAATAGGAACCCTATAACCCTAAACCCTAAGCCCTAAATGTAGGGAATAGAGACCCTATAACCCTAAGCCCTAAATATAGGGGAAAACCATCATTCATTCATCAAGCAGCTTCCTTCCGCCCTGTTGAGGGTCCGGGAAGGCCCCTACTCCGTGTCGAATCCAGCACTATGGGAGTTTCCAAAAATTCAGGGCACCTTTTTATGGGGTCCTTATAATAAGGATCCTACTATTTAGGGTGCTATTTTAGGGGCCCCTGTTATCGGAAACTCTCATATGGGCCTCAGTAACTAGAATAGAGTTTCTGGGTATATTGGCGTACAGGGTTTAGGGTTGCGGGGCCTAAGGAATTAGAATCGAGTTTGGGGGATATTATTAAACACTCTGTATTTTGGGAATAGACTTACTAATACTGAATATTGGGACCTTTATCCTAGCCAGACTTGAACCGTACCTCTGGACAACTTCTTGAAAGCCATATCAGATGGAAGTCTGAAGGGGGCTAGGGGCTTCAAACGATTCTCTTTCTGCGCGACTGTGTAGCCGCCAAAACCGCTGACTCGGGCAGGACCGGGCACAGCGTGGAGGTTTAATAATCCCATGCAAAGCACCGGCACATTCGAGGCAACTTTCCACACAAAGCAGAAACTAACACCCGTACATGCTTGGGGAGATCCCTGAAGTTCCGAAAAGCTTAAAGTGGAGTAGTGGGACTTCGTAGCGTTGCAAGAACCCCGCTCATGGCTCAATCCTCAATATACCCTTGCATTGAACCTTGGTGACAGCTACTCATAGGCCCCATAGTAGTCCTTTTGGGCGTTACCTTCTGGGACTCTAAATATGAGCCGCAATCAGGAGCTACTATGGGCCTTTGGGTACATCTCCAATACAATTTGTCCCTGGCAGCTATTGCAAGGCGCAGCGCGACCGCTCTGGTGGCGTATCTGCGCCGTTTCTGCCAACAGGCGTCAGATGTAGTTCCAGCTTGTCCATCACGGCAAGCCTTGGATCGCAAAGACTGGCAGCTGGCAGCTGCAATATTAACCAGGCCTTTCCAAACAGAATGCACAGCAGTGGCACAACAATGGAGACGGTAGTGGTACTGGTAGAAGTAATAGGCATCGTAGTAGTAGTAGTAGTAGTAGTAGTAGTAGCAGCAGTAGCAGCAGCAGTAGTAGTAGTAGTAGTAGTAGTAGTAGTAGTAGTAGTAGTAGTAGTAGTAGTGTAGGAGTAGTAGTAGTAGTAGTAGTAGTAGTAGTAGTAGTAGTAGTAGTAGTAGTAGTAGTAGTAGTAGTAGTAGAGGGTGGAGGAATCATAGAAATAGAAGTAGTAGTAGTAGTAGTAGTAGTAGTAGTAGTAGTCGTAGTAGTAGTCGCAGTAGCGTCGTCGGAGAAGAAACAAGACACTTGCACCAGCAGTCGCACTGCGTCCAAGTATCCTTGCTGAAACACAAGAACGGGCACTGCACAACGACTTCGAAGTAAGAACAAAAATGCTAACATTATCACGACTGCCTATCTAAGGATGCCGCCTCTACCCTTCTACCCCTGCTCCGTCCAACAGTTCAACAACAGAGGCTGAGACCCCTGTTCCTTTGTTGTTGCCCACTTCAGGGGCCGACAAATCCGATTTCGGTTTGACGTCAACATGAAGACTACAACAAGAAAGGCCCGAACAAGGCCAAGGTGCAGGGTGTGCCGAAGAACCACGTCTACACTCTCGTGATCTTTGGCAGAGGCCTCGAAGTACGTCAAACCCTGGGCCGTGGCGAAAGCCTCGGCCTCTTCACTGTTCCCAGGAGCAGCAGCATCAGCCTCCAACGCTTCAGCGAATCGGACTTGGGCAGCATGTCAAACGTGTATTGGCATGTGTGCTCCTCCTGCGCCCCCTTACGCTCACTACTTACTCCTACTCCGCCACTGGTACTGCTATTGCAACTCAACTGCCACCACGCCAGCACTGCCACTACCGCTACGACTAGTCAAACTTCTACTGCTACTGCCACTGCGACTGCGACGGCGACTGCTGCTGCTGCTGCTTGCTACTGCTACTGCTACTGCTGCTGCCACTGCACTTCCCCCTACTACTACTGCTGCTGCTGCTACTACCACCACTACTGGTGCTACTTCCACTATCCAAACAATGTCACACTGGCCCTGCTTCCCGACCTTGTTGCCGACCAGCACTCTCTCCGAGAAAGTCTTTGGCGCAGATATGTCGAGCAAGCGCTGAATCTCATCCAGACGCAGTGTCTCCTACTGCACACGAACGAATTGCACAATACGTTTCAGGAGGCAGCAGTACCAAGAATTGTGGAAGCTTCTCCTTACCTTTCACTCAGGTGAACCGATGTAAACTTGCCCTAGTCACCCTAGTCTCCAGGTCCGCCACGAAGATGACGGCGGCCTGTCGCTGGAACATGCGAGGATCTTCTCCAGCATTCCAATGGGCGCAAGACCCAGGCAGATCGTAGAGGAAAAGCTTCACGGGAACCATGCTGTCCTCCTGCTTAAAGTTGATGTGGATGGTGCAAGCATTGCACTGCAACGGGTGTCAGTACGGCAAGTTCTCATGACACATCGACACAACGACTTGATTAACAACCACGGCGACGGTACTAGTACGAGTACTAGTACTACTAGCAGCAGTTTAGTAGTAGTAGTAGTAGTAGTAGTAGTAGTAGTAGTAGTAGCAGTAGCAGCAGCAGCAGAAGTAGTTGTGCTAGCAGCAGCAACAGCACCACAAGGGAGAAAAGGAGTAGTAGTAGTAGCAGCAGCAGCAGTAGTAGTCGTCGTCGTCGTCGTAGTAGTAGTAGTAGTATGCTACTGTAGAAACTATAGCATTACTTGGTGCAGAGAGTTCGTGCTTCGCTCCTTCTCGACCCGGAGGTTCGCAAAGCGAACCGTGGGCATGACGTTCCCGAAGCGATCGGAGTAGAAACGGTGATCCACATATTGGCTCAAGAAGCTTGTTTTTCCAGCCTCCCGCTGCCCGCAGATGCCGACATCAACTCGCTGGAAGTCAGAGGTTTGCCTGTCAATGCGCTCCACAAGCCTGGGTTGTTGCAGGAGCTGCAGATCCACCTGGGTCTCCCATTACCTTAAGGACCCTAAACTATGGGAATTATGGAGTATTCCTTATTATGTGTAATGCAGGATGTATATCATCAACCGTATGGGTGGTTGTCAAAATTAGGGTCCCTTTTTGGGTACCCTACAGATTAGGTGCCGTATTTCATAAGGGAGCCAAAAAGGGACCATAGTGTTGACAACCACCCACCTGAAAGGGAGGGTCCGGTAGGCCCAGGGTGGCCAAGGTCTCCTGCATCTGTAGCAGCCGATCTTCGAAAAGCAGCTGCAGCCGAGTCTTTGGGTCGCAGCCGAGGGAGGCACGAGCTCTTTGCAGCACCTCACCTTACTTGCTGGGACAACTCTAGCTTAACCCCTGGGATTCAAGGCCAAGAGGGACTAATTAACTATAGCACCCCACACAGGTTTAAGGGTGTTTACTCTACTTGGTCACCGATGGAGGCATCAGGTGGAAGCTCCAATTCTGTGGAGGACGACCCAGAGAGTGGTAGCAAGCGGATGGAGTACATTGCGCGAGAATCCCGAAACTCTGGAGCAATGCCCTAGAGTAGAACCCTAAACAAGGGCCGATTCCAACAGCAAACTTATGCGTAGTTGGGACATGATATGATGTCAATCAGGAATTCTAAAATTGTCCCACATCCTGGTGAAAAGTATTGTCTGCTGTGTACTTGGTGTGATTGCTATACAAGAAGTCGCTGGTTCTGCCCGCACTACAATTCCGTCTATCTTTTGGACTCGCAAGCCTATGGTTGAACCGCGAGTGGGCCGATCTTGATCCGAAGCTGCCAACATGCCCTGCGTGCAAGAGCCGTCCGCAATGAGAGCAGACAAGTGATTCAGATCGGATTCGTGTTTGGGGCTGACGGTTTTCTAGTGCCTTCCAGGAGTCCCTACAGAACAGTTTTCTGCACGAAGTTCTGAGAGGACACTCGCTTGGAAGGGAGTTCAATCGGTTCTTTTCGCCAAATTCCCCACAAGGTACTAAGCCCTTATGCCAAAGCCCCCACTGATCAACTCGATCGGGCCTAGTACGAGTATCACAACCCAGAATGGTATTCAGAGTCTGTACTTCTTGATTTGACGTATTGTTATTCTTCTTATACTAATAATATTACTCTTCTTGATATTATTGCTAGTGGAACTATTGCTATGTATGTTTCTTTCTGGTCTTAGTGGTATGTGCCTTATTGTTATTACTCGTAGTCAGCCATATTTGGGGAGTCGGATTGAGGGTTAATGTAAGCGTTCGGCATAGGACACAAGAGTTCGAGGAGCTCATGTCACATCCAGAGTGTAGCTGATTTAGCACATGCGGTCACTCATGCAGCTCTGTTGCGAGAAGTCCGCTACCTGTTCTCGCAATCTGGGGGCCTTGATAATCAGCATGGGGTTTTGGGGCACGTTGTAACATTTCTGCGATACTTAGTGCTTACTATGTTAGTATTACTAGTCTTCTGGACAACTTCATGAGAGCCGCCTCGGGTGGTAATGTCAGCACAAATGCTCGTCTAGACTGCAACTATATACTCACTTAGAGAAGGAACTAAGTGACGAAACAAACATCGAAATCAACGACGCTTTCGAGGTAACGCGTCCTTTCTTTTCGTGTGGCTGCTCTTAGAGTTGTGCCTCCCTGTAGCTGCATGGGTATTTCCTTCGTGTTGGACGCTTAAGGACTTAAGCTAAGGACAAATGCTCCGGGTGGGTTGTGGTGGGATCTATATCGAGGTCCACGGACGTGACGAACTCTCTTACGCAAAAAAACTCTGACGTCCGTCCTACATTCTTTTTACCGCAACAGTTTGGTCGACACACCCTAAACCCTAAACCCTAAACCCTAAACCCTAAAACCCTAAACCCCTAAACCCTAAATCCTAAACCCTAAACCAAAACCCTAAACCCTAAACCCTAAACCCTCAAGAAAGTGATAAATAGAAATTGCTTGTCCTTGTTTGTAGTCACCGCTACGGCCCAACATACCGATGAAAAATTGAACAAGCTTCTTGATAAACCAGTTTCCTTACAAGCTTGTAACCGCCGCTACGGCTTGTGTTTGTTTGCGATTGAAAATTGCCAGGCACTCGAAATTTGCAGAGTCTGTACCATACAAAGATACGTAGTTCATGGGTGGACGTTGGCTACCCTTTTTTGACGAGGATATTGGCTTCAACCGCATCTGCTGCTGTGTGCCTGTGTATCTTTGGGGCCTTATTTAGTAATTAGAATAGGTTTCGGGCGCTTGTTATACTGCTATAAATGCACAATAAGGAATCCCCAAAACAGTATAGGGAATTGTTAGATCCCTATAGTAGTTCCCAAAAAGCTTCCGATCTAGGAAGGACTCGGGAATGCTTTTCCCGTGCGACGCACCCGGCACCATTGATGTCCAGGCAGCTTTAAACACAAGCAGAGGCAAAGGCCACTTAACTCCTGTTTAGGGGCTTGTGGCCCTTTGGAGGTGTATAGCTATTTAGGACTTAGGGTCAAGGGTCTGCCGTCCACCATCAAGCATCGTGTCGAAACGACTGTCGCTGGTGAGAAGGATCTATGTGGGACAAAGGATCGCACAAATGCGCTGGCAAAACACGGATACGAAACGGGATGGAGCCAATCTAGGTCAATAAGGCTGCTAATGTATGCTGAGGTTGAGGGTTCCCTTGTGAAACAGTTTTATGCTGATCTGGGAGGTGTAGCCCCTGCCCCAAGGGGGACGGCTTTAAATTACATCAATACAGGGTCAACGCGTCCCGCGTGCTGTGGCCCAGTCGAATACGCGCGACAGCTCGGACTGCTGGTGATGTTACTGCGCTTACTGCACTACATTCACTGTACTTGATTGTTCGTTTCAGCATGAGAATGCAGATGTGAAGTGTGACTTTCATTCTTACTCTCATGCCTGCTTGTGTAGAAGGTGCCCTTGCGGCCGACCATATGACATCCGTACACCGGCAACACAATTCAACAAGAGCGTTCAAGAAGGGATGCATGCACTGGGGCCACAGTAGGCGGCTGGACCGAATTTGGATCTTCGCCACGGACGTAGAGTGTGCGTCCATTCGGCGACCGCATGTCTCCGGGCGGCTGCTGCTTGGCATGCTTTGCAGTGCGAACTCAGCAGAAAAATCTGCCCCACGTCGTCAGGCTGATCAGCAAAGTTACTTAACCTGCCCATGGCACCTGCAACCTTGCTGCCAGTCACCGAAAGCTGTTGGGACGTGCCATCTGCTTAGAACCCAGATCAGCTTAGCTATGCAGGACATGTCATGGCAACAAGGATGGGGGCAGGAAAAGCATCAGCTGGCTCCTGTGGCCATTTCTGAGACGCGTGGCTGGGAGTCGACGGAATCTGCCGTAACTGTACTTTGCTCAAACCCCCATGGAAGATGAGCAGACTGCAACACCTCCGTCCGGCGCGCTGTTAATGGGCCTTCGAAGGCACGGCGGATGAGATGGCCCGCTCCAACCGACTTTTCTGCAGCAGGGGCATGCCAACAAGATCCGTCTTGTAGCCAGTTCTGTTCGGGTGGCTCCCTTTCGGCACTCCGGATTCAATTTGGGAGCCAGGGTTTCGGGTTCGGGAGGTCAAAATCAATTCAAGCAGAGATCTGTGTTCCATTGATGTTCCGCAGAAGGCGGCTCAAGGCCCATCCATCAGCGCCGTGGTCGGGGCGTGCGTGCACAGACCCGCAGGGTCAAGAGCACCGAAGTAAGCAGCAATATCATCTTTCACCCCTGAAGTGGGCCCCTAGAGCCTTAAGCCCGAATTTTCGCAGCAGGGGCTTTGAAAGGAACTACTTCATCAGCAGCCCCTGACCTTTTTAGCATGTACCAAAAGAGAACTGCTTTGGTCTGGAACCGCGCAGGCCCCCTTAGAGGTACTCTTTCTTGAATCTGGTCTGCAACGACTATAATGTACTATAATGGCTGCGAACAGGTTTGCCGAGACTGGTGGTTCTGATCAACATAGCCACAAGGTCACCATCATATGGGTGACTTCATAATTATAGATTAGGGTTCGGGGCTGCTGTATACTTTAATTGTGATAAAGAGCCGCCCAAATAGTATAGGTAATTATTAAGGCCCCGATAGTAGTCACTGGAGACCGGCCGTCATGGTCGAGGTCAGAGACAGGAGTGGCACCCAACAACATGTGTCACTGATGTTACTGTTATTGATGTCGGGTTACTCGCGATCCCCCGAAGACAACTCCATGACGCTGTTGTGATGCTGATGAGGGTCGCGATGGCGACGGCCACGATAACCAGTACCAACCAGACTCCCCAAAACAGCATAACCACAGCAGCACCGCAACAGATGGAAACTACAGCAACATGTAATCAGAAGACTTGTTTAGCGAGTTTGACCGACACAAGCAGCTCTAGCCGGAAAAGTATTGGCAAGTTCGTCCGCAGCTGACCAAAACCTGATGGACAGGGCTGTGCTGGTCCTGATGGTACTGATGCTTTCTTCAAAGTTCTCTTAGTTTCTGAGTTCCTTGGCCCCGGAAAAGCTTGAGTAGGCTAGCCTTTGAAGTCGACAACTGCCCAAGAAAAACTGCTACAGGCTAACTACTCAGCTCTCGAACCCTAAAACCCTAAACCCTAAAACCCTTAAGACCCTAACCCGTAACCCTCAAAACCCTAAAACTCCCTTGAATCCCCTCGAGAAGGTCGATCTCGGCCCCTGCGGGAAGGGGTTGAGCTTCACCTGTCAGCTCTGGGACAGCCAAGCCCGGCCCCAGTACCCAAAGACTCCAGGACCGATTCATTACAGGGTTTATGATTTAAGGTTTTAGGGCTTTACGGGTTTAGGGTATTTTTCTCTCCTACTTGGCAGGGACGAAGCCGGCAATGCAGGGTACTTGGTTGAGCATCGGAAGGGTGTGGGGTTTTAGGGCTTTGAGGGGTATTCGGGGATATTCTCTAAGCAAGAACTGGGTTCCTGAGCAGCTTCTTTATGATAAGGGTACTCTTTGTCCTACTATTTTTTGGGTTTAATAAAGGGACCCTAAGCTAAAGAGGGCAAAAGGATATATACTACTCAGGAAATTAGAAAATCAGAAGCCCTATAGCTTGTGTCATAGCAAGAAGCCATAGCCAATTTGGGTGCTCCCCTTCCTTGAGGGATTCTGGAATCTCTGAGTATCGCTGAAAGAAGAATGCCGAGCAGGGGGTCAGACCCAGGAATGCCAGGGCAAAGATGGTGGATGAGTTGGGTGCGCTTTCGGGTTTGGGGTTTAGGGTCTTGAGTTGGGGCATAGTCATATAGCCATTTCAGGGTTGTAGAGTTTAGGACTTACTGTAGGCGCAAGGGCTCTATATACTGTGGGATATGCATGTGCGAGGGATTTTGTGAGCATTGCCGGACCGTATGTCTCGGACGGCTGCATCTTGCGACGTACAGGGTGGAAGAGCTTTACGAACTTTTAGGGACGTCAAAGCAGAGGCTTCATGCAGGTTTGGCCTTACATGGCATTTAGACTGTATTTAGGCTTTGTAGTAAGTCC